CGAAAGCAGAGGCAGAGGGCAGGAAGGCAAACCTGGCGTGCGGACACGGGGCCGGCGTTTTGAAGCGCAGGACAGCAAGAGAGGTTAGCTCCTAGTTCGAGGGTGGGGAGAAGAGGATGGGTGTGGCACAAACCGCAGCTGCCATCGCAAGAACTCAGGGTATCATCGGGAGAAGCTCAGCAAATGTTGCTGTCGTCAACATCAATGGAGGATGAAAAGTATGAGAGAATGGCATAATTTGGAATTCATTCTAAACAAAAAAAAAATTTTGAACAATTACTGTAACAAAATAATTTAGGATCTTAATGTAACAATATTTGTTGTAAAATAAATACAGTGAGTAAAAAGATTAGCAGCACTGTATTCATTTCAATTTCACTGACATGGACTTATTCTTTTCTATGTCCTTTCCTAAATTAAAAACAAAAACCACAACATCTAAGCTTCTGAAATGTGTTCAAACAACTTCTCAAAGTTTATCCATGTCTGTACATAAATTTTATTCTATTTATCTCCAAAGCCATTTTCATGAAATAACAACAAACACTTACTAAAAGAGATCTCAAATTTATTAGGTATTTTTGTTGCAGCTTTTATAATAAACAAGACAAGTATGTACTCAGAAAAACTGGACCCAGTGTATCAGACAGTTAATTTTTTCATATTTGTACTTTTAATATATTCAATAGTTCTATAAATTCAGACATCTGCATTATGGAGTTTTATAAAAGTGTATCTGCTTGAGATCACTATGCAACTTTCCAAAACACCATACCATCTACTGCAAGAAATTTTCACTGGCTTTCTACCACTGTTTTTAACAGATTACTCATGGTAGGAAACTCCCTATCTGGAAGTATTTTGCATTTGATTAAAACTCTATTAACTTCATGTAACTTTCCCCAGGTAACTCTGTCTCTTACAGCTGTGTAAGATTTCTGGCCTGCCTAAACTGTTTTGGTGACTGCAATATAACAGCCTCTTCAAATTTTGTCTAATTTGTGGATTTATTATACAATCATAAAGTGGCAAGATTTATTACATTTAAGGTGGTGTTTTAAAGTAATTTATTTCATCAGTCAATTTTTAGTCTGTGTGACCACTTATGTTGAAGTCAACTGCATTACTAATTAAAACATTCAGTAGCTATGCATATACAGGTAACTCAGTCTTTAGATTTTCACTGAATGTGCAATATTACATACACAAACCTGACAGACACTTGAATTATGCATCTTGCAACACAGAATTAACAGGTTATTAAAGCCTGCATATACTAGGTACAGTGCATAAAGGGGATATCAGTCATACCATTTTGAACAAAACATTTATTCCATGGTGGGTTTTTGAATATGAAAATCCTATTTGGTCTTACAATAGTTTCTGCAAAAAGCCACACAATCCAGGCCCTGATAAACATTCATGCCTATAAATTATATCCATTACTGGAAGAATTTTAATACAGTAGGCAGCAATTATTTTCAATGCCTTTTAAAACTTGTACCAAAAAATATACATTTTCCATAAAATCAAAAAATAAAATATCTGAAAATGTTCTGTGATAAATCTAGAAAAAGAGGAATCCAGTCTTAAAAGTTAAATTCTGCTCTCATGTACACAATTTGAGAACAATGTATGATATTTGTACAGCCGACAAGAATTTGACTCAGTCTGCAAGATTAAAATGCGAAGGTTATGAAAAGTATGCAAACTCTTATTTCAGGAGTTTAACTTTGTCCTTTAAAACTTTAAATTTGGGATTGTTATTCACTTTCTTATTAAATAGGACGAGAATATCCTCTTCTGATTTGTGATGTTCACCAGCCACTGCGTAATACTGAGCTATAACCTGCACAAAGACAGAGGAACAGTTTTGAGTTAGTAAAGATGATTCCACTTTAAGCAATAATACATTCATGTTACTGTATTCAAAGTAGCGTGAACTCTATTATGCTATTATTCCTTTGCAGAATTAGCACTGAATTTCTTCTGTACTCCAGTAAGCAATAAAGAACTAGCTCTTCAGCTGACACTCTGTCAATTGATATTATGTTAAATAACGCCAAAGTTTTTTGCTTATGTGGGGCAGAATTTTATGAACTTAAGCATTACAGAAAAAAATTCACAAGACCAAACGAGATTTTAAAAACCAGGCTGTACAGTACCTTTTTTCTTAGTTTTTTTATTGAAATTTCATTGTCTGGAGCCTGTTTCAGAACAGCTTTGATGGTTCCCTTCCAGTTGAATTTACCTAGAAAACAATTAGGTGTACAACATCATTAGTAAAATTAGGTATGTCCAGGTCTTCTTCTCTAGTAGGAACCAGCCTTCAATCTCCTAATTTTGGAACCAGTTCAGCTACCACAAGAATTGTTATCTTACTGACCCTACAACAGCAGGGTGTCTTATGCATAAAGTCAGGTAGGCCATTTCTGAAGACTGTAATAGGATAGACATGAAGAACCAACATACGACTTGAACAACTAGGCTCAGGATTGCTTTCACTTAATTTCTGTGCTTCAGCTGTTAAGCAGCAACTCTTACATAATCCAGGAATCATTGGAAAGATCCTGTCTCCTCACCCTTAGAGCACAGGTAGTGAATTGCACACAGTACCCACTTCAGAGGTCATTAATTGGTAGTTTCCAAATAAACAATCTGTATGTTCAAGTACAGACATTCCCCAACAGTAACAGTATGTTGGATGACAGGTATAAGTAGGTTTATCTAAGCATAAACTAAAGTGAAACACAGCTGAAGTCCAATTTATGATTCACTGAGCAAAAACAGAGATATATGAGACACAAAGAGATGTAAGAGAGCTGTTACCTTTTTTCCTCTTAGGTGGCTAATGTGCACAGCAGCAGGGAAGAGACCTGCTGCGGTGAAACAAACATGCCAAATTCCTCACTGCCCAGTGAAAGCAAGTGTAGCCAAAGGTTGCCAGCACAGCAGAGGCAACAAATGAGAGAAGTAATTCAGCATCAGGTGTTAAGTGTAGCACAGGCTACTGACTCAGGAACAGGTATGTATAACTGAATACACATATGTATATGTACACTGAGGCACAATTTGTTTCATGGCTTGCTGCAAAAGCACCATTTTGTATTCGGCATGAGGTCTTCTGCAGAATAGTTTTGTAACTATCTAAACCCCCCCTTTAAGAATACCTTTATCTGTTCCCACATTTTCTTCGTTGCCATTGGTGTTTTCTGTTTCCATGTCTTCTGAAATGTCTTCAGTTTTCATTCTCTTTATTGTGATATGAGGTTCCTCTAGAGATGGAATTGGATAAACATACACAAAACATTGTAAAACTAGAAGAAGAGGTCTGACATGACTTAAAAGTTTCTGTTCTTGTAACACGAGTTTATATTTGCTAAGTTCAGATGTTATAAAAGGACTGTGCACCACAGTGTTAAAAAATAATCTAATTTGTATATGTAACTTATTACTAAAAAAATTCTACTAAAGTAGATTATTGAGCATTGAGAAAAAGCATCTTGAAACCGAACAAGAATATAAAGTGTAGGATGGATACCTTCTACATGTTTATGTTTGCGTTTCTTTACATTTGTTTCCTCTTCTATTTCATTCTGTTGGCCATTTCCATTTATTTCAGATTCATTCTCCAAGCTCTCCTTTCCTTTTTTTGACTTTTTACTCTTTTTTACTTCTGATTGGTTTTCTAATTTCAAGTCTTTTTTCTCCTTCTTTTTGTTCTTTTGTCTCTCTTCTTTTCGTTCTCTCTTATTCTTTTTCCTCTCAATTTTATCATCGGTAATTCCATTTTCTTCTCCTGTTGTTTTTTCCTCAGTTTCTGCAGACTGCCCCTCTTCCTTCTGTTGTGATTTGTCCTGTTCTTTTTCACTGGAAATCTTTTGTTGAAAGACAGATTATTACAATTTTTACATGCCTTTTTTGACATTTCAACTTTTCCCTACTACATCATTCATGAAGAACACTAATATCCTGAATTCAATTCAATTGCTTACACATGGTGACACCAGCTACCTGAGAAATAGCACTAATTAGCGTGGCTGATTCTTCTTCTAACTTAACATCCTAAATGCTAATTACCTTAACATCACAGAAGAAATGTTACCTTACAACATAAAATTTCTATTTGAAATAATTGTCTCTGTCTTTTTTTAACATATTTGCTAAATGTAATTAAGTTAAGGGAGAGATAACTCTGATTTACACAGACAAAAATACAGCACATTGCAGCAAGACACAGAGCCTATTCCCAAATATGTGGCCCTTGAGTAATAATCTTAGCTTTGTCACCCAGTTCCCTGTCTTAGGATATGTCTGGGACAACAAACTATTATTGCAGGATGTCAACAAAGGCAGTGCTGGTTGTTTTAATTGTTTTCTCACCTTAACGTATTTGGTTTTCTTTTAATGTTCCTGGGCTTATAACAATTTTCTTGTAGAAGAATTAATATATTAATGAACATTTTTATATGTAAATTAAACTTTGATTTTAATAATTACAATTGAAATACAATTACTGAAATGTTAATGTGGCTATTTAGAAAAAGAATACATGTTTATACAAGCAACTTAATACCAACATGTTTTTGTAAAGAATGATTTCAATTCAATTTGAATTCCACTTAAGAACTTCCTTTGAGTACATACACTTCAAAGCATGTATTACACAGAATATCTTGAGATGTTTTTAAGAACTCTTAAAGGTGTGTCGAAACAATCTGAGCAAGAAAGTTGTGTTACATATTTTACTTTAATGCTATATTCTAGGGAAAATTTAAATTGTTTACTTGTGTTTAAATAAAATAATTGTTCAGATTCAAGATTTTTTGTTTTAAATCAGTTTAAATCAAGAGGGAACTGCTTATGGCTTTAGTGAAGTTGTATCGACTCAGAATTAATGTTCCAGCAAGACAATGTACTTGAAATTCAGTACCCAGAGTTTATGTTATGTTCATATCCTTAAAAAAAAAAAAAAAAAAAAGTATTTCCTTCCTTCCTGGTTCTTATATTTGGATTCTTCAGAAAAACTACAAATAGATTCAACAGGAATCATCAAATCAGGAACATGAGGCATGATTGTCAAGGGATTAGTGTCAAAGCTATGCCTGCACTCTTTCTCAAGAGAAGTGGGCAGAAGGGGAGAGCAATCTTTACATCAACAGAGAAGTAAGCTTCTGTAACAGCTTTCTAGTAGCAGTAGCAGATGTAAACAATCAAAACTACACCCTCCCGAAACATGCTAAGCTAGTACTGAGATAGCAAAGAATTAGGCGCTGAGAAAAAAGGTCAGTGGGAGGAATGTGCACTACAAACTGGAAGATCTCATCTCTCTCCACTAATAAAACAGGTAAACTAGGTGCTGCTAACTTCCCACTCCAATACACATTAATTTGAGGCCAATAAAGTTCTGAGAAGAGTTTTTTTATTCCTTCTTAGTGTGTGATAGAAGATTGGAACCAAAGACACAGGTAGTGGTTTTCCCTTTTCTTACGTACTAATAGCACAGAATTAAGTTAAATTAGCCTTCTGATTAGTACATGTCACTGTGTCCAAATTTTTAATCATAACCTGCCCAGTATGCACAACTACTTCAGCAACAGTATGTTCAACAAATTAGCAATTTAGTCTAGGAATATTACATTATAACACAATGCCTTGTAACAATGAGAGACAATATTTGTGCTAACATCTACAAAGGGAGTCTGAAATGTTTTCCTTCCAGCATTTTTGCCTGCATTCCTG